ACCTGAGGCACGGCATGGACCTGTGGCACGGCATGGACCTGAGGCACGGCATGGACCTGAGGCACGGCATGGACCTGTGGCACGGCATGGACCTGTGGCACGGCATGGACCTGTGGCACGGCATGGACCTGTGGCACGGCCTGGACCTGTGGCATGGCCTGGACCTGCGGCACAGCATGGACCTGCGGCACGGCATGGACCTGAGGCCTGACCAGGACCTGTCGCCCAGCTTGGACCTGTGGCCCAGCATAGACCTGTGGCCCAGCATAGACCTGGGGCCCAGCATAGAACTGGGGCCCAGCATAGAACTGGGGCCCTGCCAGGACCGGAGACCCGGCATAGAACTGGGGCCCAGCCTGTGGAATCCATGACTGTGCCATTGCGGCCTGGTGGGAAGGGCCAGGGGCCTGGGGATCAAGTGACTGCAGCTGGGGTTGTGGTGGTAGATGTGCCACTCCCATCCGTGCCAGTTCCTCCAAGAGCATTTCCTCACTATTCACCTGGGGGAAAGAAGAGAATCCATTACGCTAACATCTAGGCCAACACTGTCCACTGGAAACAATGCAAGCCACCCTTGGAAGTTTCCACTTCCGAGTGGCCCTGCAGGACCAGAAGGAGGAAACAGGGGAGGTCAATCTCAACAGGGTGTTTTACTTAACCTGGTATACTCGTCATGTCATGGCTTCAAGATGGAATGGGCATAAATGGTCAAGGAGGCATCTTGCACATTTTGCTTCTACACTAAGTCTGGGTTCTGCTGGACTTACACACATCAGTGCTCAAGAATCACAAGTGGCTGCTGTATGGCGCAGCACAAGTCCAGACCATGACAAGCTAAACTCTTAATAAGCAAACCCCGGAGAAGAGAAAGGGGGACAATCACAAACCCGTTGCACTTTCAGTCAGCAGAACCCCTGGGAGACCCCTCTTTGCTGGACAGAAGCCCTTCCTCGAAGATCAGTTTCTGCAGAGCCCTAGGCCCACCTGGAAACACAGTATGCTTCTTGCAAAGACCCTGGTCTGGGCTCAGCCAGGTGCCCCCCTCCATGTGGCACTTCCACAGAGGAGATCTCAACAGAGAACGGAGACACCCCCAGCCCTCAGGGTGAGATGGGAATAATATTCACAGTGCACAACTGTTCCACCTTCCAATCACCTATGGACTGTTCCCCTCAAACATCCACACAGACAAAGCAGCGCCTCACCTAGTTGGCGATATAAAATCTTCCTACACCTTTAGCCTAACTTGAATTTTCTAGACATGCACTCTTGTGTACTAGGTGTTTGCCAAGAACTGCATCAAGAGTTGTTTGGAAAACCGCATGAGCAGCAGCTACACTCACAGTGGTACCAGATAGAGCTCTGTCAGTGAGGCTCAGAGTCTGATTGTCACATTCACAGTTGGACTGTTCAAAGGGGCAAGTCCCCTCACAACTTCGTCAGGTCTCTCTCTGGTACAGACAAGTCCAAACACAAAGATTCAGAAACAGACCCAGGAGAAGGGGAGCTTTTGCCATCAGGCCCATTTTAACTGGCAACGTCACCAGAGCTCTCTGCATTTTAGTATTACTGATAAAGAAATGTTAAGTATTACTTGAGAGCTAGATTTTACTTGACTCAGGGGTTGTCAAGGCCTTTTCTGGAATGGGCCAAGCAAGAAAGGCTTTTTTTCTTTGTATGCCATATTTAGGGAGCTCTGGGGGCCTAGTGGCAAGAAGCCTGCGCTGAAATCCCGAAAGCTCGCCTTTAGAGGCCACCAGCTGCTCCCGCCATAAAAGGCTGGGCACTCTCCTCCCAGGCAAAGGCCTGCCTCTGAAAACGCGCAGGAGAGCCACCAACTGGTAAGAAGCTGCACTGCAACCCCAAAAGCACATGGCTAGAAGAGGAAGAAGGAGGAATTAATTCACTTCCTCTGAAAATCCATATATGTGTGTGTGTATATATATATATATATCAAGGCTAGATTTGTCCCCATGTGTGAATTATAGGTTTCCTTTTTTAACTGAATATAAAGGATTCCATTTTATTATAGACTGCAATTTTCTTAGATTCCTACCTGCTACATTCTGGTTTCCCCCCTTTTTTTGAGAGTTTAATGAAAGTTTATAGAGACTTTGGACTTCCATTCATTCATTGTTGCACATTTTCCTCCCTGCCAACTCCTCCCCCCAATTCAATTTTCTCTTTGAAAATAAAAAAAAGTCTTTCATTGTTATACAATGTTATACAATGAAAGTCCACTTTACTATGCAGCTCTTAAGGTTGCAAATTTTTTGCTGCCTTTCATGTCAGGATAGTTCGGGGAACACTTGGAAGAACAGTGACATATCAGAGTTTGGGTCTCGGTGCTGAGTCCAGCAGAAGCAAAAAGTGAAAAAAAGACTTGGGACACAAAGACCAAACCTCTGAGCTAGTCTCGGCTGCCTCTGCTCATTTTCTTTGGTTCATGGCAGAGATCCCACCTTCTGGGGGTTCAAATCCATCAGCAGCTCCAAAGAGAGAAAGAAAGGCAATCTCCTCCCATCACCTACGAGTTGGAACCAACCTAACAGGAATGAATTTGACTTTTTGAGAATTTTTGTTCCTCACCTGCTGTTGTGGCATGTCAAGTTCTCTCTGTAAGTCTTCTACCAGCGCCAGCACCCTTTCCCTGTTCTCTGGCTGACTGAGCCTCACCCAGGTCTCTATCTTGGTGGGCAGGATATTTAGGAACTGCTCCAGCACCAGCAGCTCCACGATTTCCTCCTTAGAACGAATGGCTGGCATCAGCCACCGGGAGCAAAGCTCCCAGAGGTTGTTAAAAACCTCACGAGGCCCAGCAGCTTGCTGGTATTGGAACTGCCTGAAGCGCTGACGGAAGACTTCGCAGTCGGTATCATACTGCTTGAGCGTGGAGCCATGATTCAGGGAAGACTGGATTGCGCAACCCAGAGACACAGCCATCGCTCTCTTCCAGAAACTTGGAACTTGCGAGTGACTGAAGAATTATCAAAAGCTGAAGCTAAGGAAAACAGAAGAAAGGAGAAACAGCAGTGACTAAAAGGGTGTACTACTTACTGTCTTACCTTACTTTTCACCAAAGCTCTCAAACAGAAGCTCTTCAATCTTTTTAGTGGTTTCAAAACTCACCTCTGGGGGAGAAAAAAAAGACACTTCTATTCTACAAAGGTTAATGCCATTTCAAAAGGTTTACAAACTCTGTCACCCTTGACCCTTCTACAACTGTGTTGTGCTGATAGGTGCAAGGCCTACTTGGTGATTTAAGGCCATTCAAAATAAAGACATAGCTGCTTCAGACACACAAACTGTATCTCAAGTGCTCAAAAGTGGAATGTTCTAGCAGCCAGCTTGACTCTAGAGTTCTGAAGCCCTTTAGGGAAGAACACACCCTTCCACACCCCCATCTATAAGAGTGCAACCTCACTAAAAATTTCACTTCAAATAAAAAAAAGCTCAGTTATATTGTATTAGAATATAGCTAAGGTCTCAAAAGAAGCAGAGTGGGTACACTAACAACAAGCCTGAATAATCTGTGCTCTATTTAGCATTAGGCTGCCTTGAGCAGCTTTCCATCAAAAGGTCTTGTGCTGAGGCCATGTTTGCCAGCTCAGCAGGCCACGCACCCCTCTACTGTCCCCATCTCTAGGCACTCGTCCTTCTGTGAAGACACCCTTCAGTAACATTCTAAGAGGCTTTCTTCAAAATGCCCTTAGAGGAATGGCTAAAGTCCAGTGGTGGTAACACACATGGGTCTCAAGTCTCAAGACCTGCATTTATGAAGTTAAAAAAAAAACACCAAAAAACCAAAACATCAACACCGAGTAGGGGGAGAAGGTGTCCAGGACTCTCCTCTCAAAATCGGTCACCTCATTAAAAAAAAAATCTGTTACCATTCATTCAAAATCTGTTACCTGTTTCCCATTGCTATCAAGTCAATTCCAATTGCTATCAACCCTACAAAGAAGATTAGAGCTTATGCTACAACCTGTATGGATGGCGTGGATTAAGCCTTCTAACCCTCCAGGAAAGGCATGCGTCTCTGTGGGAGAAACTAGGCAGTCTACTTCGGTAAAGATCTATGGCCTACTTCCCTTGCAGCTTATCTTTCTTCCTTCTCATTAACATGGGGTTGGAATATACCCATAGCTCACTCTCCAGCTAGTTTACAGAGGTTGTAAATCACAGAGGAGGAAACTGTCCATCTTCCTCCCTCCAGGCAGTTGATAAATTCAAACAGCTTGCAACCTTTCTCATTAGGCCATCAGAGCTCTCATTCCATGCCACAGGGGATTTGGGGCGATTGGAATGAACTACTTGGCTCGCGGATTTGGGCAATCTTTAATGGGCATCTTTCTCTTGAGCAGATAAGGGATTCAAAATTCCCACTGTTCTACGAGGTTGAACACGCAACCACTGCATACCAGGGCTCCTTAAAATAGTCACAAATGCCAGCAACAAGGTTCCCTGCAATTGTGGCGCCAAGCGCTGCCGTCGCTTCCTTAACTGAAGCTCTGGGGGACCCCTTCCTCTGCCATCTTCTCCCTAGCCTGGGGGGGCTCCTCAGCCCCACCCAGAGCATCTCACCCCCACAACATGTTCAGGATGGATGTGGGCTTACAGGTGAAAAGGACTTTGCCTTCACCCTTCCAGCCCACCTAGCAATTGCCCCCTTCCTACCCCGGGGGCCCAGAATGTAGATATTGTACAAAAGTTTCTAAATCCCTTCTTTTCTATGTACTTTTTTATTTAAGAGGTGGGGGTCCCGGGTGGGAACCCCTCCATAATAAAGTCTGTCAATGTTTGGAAAAAAAAAATAGTCACACTACTCCCACACTTCAGCCTTAACTGTGGATGGAGCCTGAATTCCCAAACAACATCCAGCTTTTAAGTATCGCGCCACTAGCGCGCCCCAGCCCGCCAGCAAATGACTGACTCAGCGCTGAGTCGGGCTATCAGAACGTTCCTGAGACATGTACGTCATACAATCTGCAGTGGAGCTGTAATTGCAGGCTGTGAATTACTGTGCCTAGCAGGGAGCAAGGCTGTTCCTCAAGCATTTCCCAGGATTCAGGCACCACGTTTGAGGGGGGTCTCGCAACTAAGCCGTTCCCCAACGGTCCCCAACGTTCCTCAACGTTCCTCGGTGCCGGGGAGTTCTCCTCACTCCCCTCACTGAGGGAAGCCCACTACCACACATCTCCCAGAAAATAGACTCTCCCTGGGTTCCTAGCATTCGCCCTCCCCGAAAAATGCCCCCTACACGTGGTTTCCGTGTGAACCTCTTTCCCAGCCCCAGTGCTCCCAATTCTGCCCTCGTCGGGCTCAAGAATGAAGCTGAACCCCTCTCCCTGCCCCAGCGCTCCCAGTCCTGCCCTCATAGAACCCAAGAAAGAAGCCACGTGCGCAAAAAGCGTACTCGACGGGGCCGGAGACAGTCCCGGCCAGTGGCACCGACACCACAAAAGCTCAAAATCTGGTTTAAGAGCAGACACCAAAGGGTTGCCAATGCCAAGGGCTGACAAAGTGCACATGCTCCTTGGTGTCCTTCCACCTCCACTAGGGGGGCCCACCTGGCTGGAGGGAACCCAAAGAAGACCGGTTACCCCCTCACGCTCTCCCGAACTGAGTTCTCCACCCTGTTCCAAACCTGGCTGCTGAGGGCTGTGGAAAAGCCACCTCAGTGCTCCGGAGGCGATGCTCCGGACCCAGTCACACCAGTGGTCTCAGTAGGACGTGTGCACGCCTAGAGCTCACGAGGATGAAAGGGAAGGATTGGCTGAAGCTTTTCCCAATATCCCCTTCTGGATTCCAAATTGCTAATTAAGGTACCTCCAATCAGGTCTCACCTCGCGGTGGAAGGGGCACCATTGGGTGGGGCCAGGAATGACTCCCCTCCTCCCCTCCTGTCCCAAAGTAACCGAGCCAGTTGGAACCTCCTCTTTCAGGCAGTTTGGACAGCCCATGAATCTACTGCTCTCAAGATGCAGGGGGAGCTGTCTCTCGGAAATTGTGTTCTGACACCTTTATTCAATGGGCTCAAGTATGTCCATAAGTGTGAGGATGGCCCAGGGTAGGACAGGATAGGGCCGCTATGAGCCCGTGCTCCACTCCACAACAACCAACACCCTGACTTGGGCACTGAACAAGGTTTTCGAAATTTTGGAATTTGGACATATTTCTTATACCTGGGTTTCTTTTCCACCAAAGACGGCAAGATCTCACCTATTCTCTCAGCCCTCTCTTCCTCCCGCCCCTCAGAGACGCCAAGGGAAGGAACATTCAGGCTTTACTTGGCAACTATATAACTTGGAATGCAGATCCGCAAGCGGCAAGGCAGGTGGGGGCGGGGCAGCACATCTTGGTGTGGGGGAGCAGAACTTAAGTCTTCAAGTTGTTACTCCTTGAGGAGCTGCCCATCCTGCAGCTGATGGGGAGGGGCAGCTTTCCCCCTTGAGGCCTGCCAGGTAAAGCCTTTTTGTAATTGCCTAGAGTCCGGTCTGGCTCCTCAGGCCACATCACAGTCCTCAGACACAAATTTTTGTATATAAATAGTCTGTGTGGTAGGCTTGTGCGCGTCTATGGTCATTTTAAAAAGAGTTCATCATTACCCTGAGAAAACAACAGCAAAGATCGAACACTAGACTGTCATGCTCATTCCTTGATTTTAAAGATATTTAACTCTGTCCCTAGCAGTTGGAGACTACTTGATGAGAAAAGGTTTCTTTGGGGTTTTGTTTGTTTTATTGGTTCTGTGTGTGAGTGAGTGTGTGTGTATGGGTGTGTGTATGTGTGTGTGTGTGCGCGCCCCTGTTGGACAGCACTACACATCCCTTTAGTGCTTAATAGACCAAGTATGCTAGGGACAGAAGGATTAAGTGAATGGCTGCTAACTCAAAAGAAAGTTCAACCCCCAGGAGCCTCTAGTGAGAGAGAGAAAGGTCACGGTCAGCTTTCATAAAGATTTCTTTGAAAGTCATTGGGACAGTTCTACTCTGCCTTACACAGTCAGTATGAATCAGAATTCCATAGCACATAACACACCACTTTAGTGTTTCGTGTCTAACCATACTAAATCTCTGCCTAACATCTTTTTTGGGTGCAAAAGCAAAAGACCCCCATCTTTATCTTCCTTTGCTTTTTCCTTTGTTACATAACATAGCTCACTACTGTCTTCTCAGAATTGCTGACCCTCCCGGGGATTTCTAAGATTTTAAATCACCCCACAGGAGGTTATTTCAATAACGAAGGCCTGAGGTTCGGCTCTCTCTATGCCTCAGTTTCCTTATCAGTCAAACAAAGCTAAAAAACCTTGCCACAGAGTTTCTTCTGACTCAAAGTGACGTGGACAACAGAATTAGGAAGTAAGTGAAAACTGTTTAGAACAGTAAGTAGGTGCCTGTCTTCTGAGGTGCCTCTGGGTGGGTTCAAACCATCAACTTTTAGTCAGTAGAGGAGAGCTTAACTATTTGCACCACTTAAGGATATCCCGTCACCTCTCTCTCTCTCACACATTATGCAAGCCAACTTCCACTGTGAATCACACAGAGGACGCTGGCCATCTTTCTCTAACACAGCTGCTGGTGGATTGGTATTGCCAAAGGAATACTGGCTTCGAGTTAGCAGGCCAGCTGCCTGCAGACTACACCACCCTGGAGCTCCCCGCCTAAATGTAAGCATTAGCATCCAGAGTGTGAGCCAAGTGCTAGTGTCAGGCCATAGTTACTGCTCCTTCATCCTATGAAAATTGAGAGAGAACACACAGATATTCCAAAGAATTTAATGGAGTCATTTTATGTCTCTTAAATCTTGTAATAGGAAAAATAATGGGCTTGTAACTTAAGCATATTTGTTTCCTTTGTACTTTTCTCACCATATTTAGCAAAAAGAACAGTCCGTGACAGACTAGAAATTAAACACATGCACACAAAAAAAAATAAAAAATC